CCACTCGTTCATGTTCCCCTTTCCAGATAGCGATATTTTTTGGTCCTCTCAATTACAGAAATGAGAAAGAGGGAAATGGGGAACAGGTGTTCAGTGAAGGTCATATCTGTGATGTTGCAGACAAGATAGAGAAGGGGGAGGGGTAGAGCTTGAGGCTTTGGCTCCTTATTTTAACTTTCCTGCCTCTAGTTTCTAGTCTGAAGCCTATCCAGTCTCAGGCAGCCATCCACAAGAGAATTTTAAAAGCATTCTATATGCTTAATGGGCTGCTAGCCCTGTGACTGGTGTGTGTGTGTGTGGGGGGGGGGGCGTGGACAAGATCATAGGGGATGATCTTGTGTGGACAATTGAGGGCAGAAACAATACTAGTCATGTGGTAGAGGCTCATTATCTATATACTAGAGGCCTGAGTACATGAAAATCATGCACTGGGGGTGTCCCTTAGCCCCGTCTGCACCCTCTCGCAGTCCAGGAGCCTTGGGGGGTTGGGGGGTTGCTGGTCCGGACACCACCACTGGGCTAGCCAGCCGTGAGCCCGGCTTCTGGCTAAGAGCGCTCCCCCTGTGGGAGCACACTGACTACCAGGGGTCAGACGCTCAATGCACAGGCATGGAAACATGGAACAGACTGATGAATCTCAGGGGGAAGGTGGGGAGGGGAGGACCGGAAGAGATTAACCAAAGATCTTATATGTGTACTAGATGCCTGGTGCACGGATTCATGCACCAGTGGGGTCCCTCAGCCTGGCCTGCGGGGATGGGGCCGAAACCAGCTCTCCGACATCCCCCGACATCCCCTGAGGGGTCCTGGATTGGGAGAGGCACAGGCCAGGCCGAGGGACCCCACCGGTGCACCGGGCCTCTAGTGTTTTCATAATCATGAATTTCTAGCCAATTGTTGGATTTAATTGCAGTTCTTCCCGAGTGACTTTGGGCAGGTGATTGGGCTTTTCTGACCCTTGGTATCTTCTTCTGTGAGATGGGGACAGCAGGGCAGTAGGCGCAGCCAAGGCGCAGGAGTGGGACATGAAGCCGACGGGTGGCCCGGTGGGGGGCGGGCGTGGCCTGTACCCATAGCTGACCCAAAGCGCCTCCGCCGCTTCCCAAAGGAAACTGAACAAGGAAGCCGCAGACGCGCCTGCGCCCCGTGTTGCTATCTCGGAGCGCAGTAGCGCAAGCACGCACATACGCGCACGCACGTGGCTCGGTCCGCGCGCGTTCCCCACAGGGGGTGAGGCCGACTACTAAGCTCAGGACTCCACTTCCCAGCATGCCCCGCGGCGACGTTGGCAGCCACCAAGAAGGAAGCTCTACGCGCGGCGGTCGAGCTGCGTCAGCCTTGCCGCACGCACGAACGCCTGCACGTACACGGCACGCACGCGGGCGCACCCCTGGCCCCGCCCCCTGACGCCCTATGCGGGAGCGCGCCCGGTCGTGTGCAGGGCGGCGGCGCGGGCGCGGGGGCGCGCGGTGACTGTTGGGTTGGCGCTGAGGGGAGGAGGCAGCGCGGCCGCCGCCGTTGCGCAGATCCGGGCCGCTGCTGTGGGGAGGGCGCCGGGGCCAGTGACCTTCCGGAGGCGGGAGCGAGCCAGGGGGTCCGGGATGCCGAGCGCCGCCGCCGCCGCCGCCATGAACAACTCGGGCGCCGACGAGATCGGGTGAGGACTCGCCGGGCCGCTCAGCAGCGTCGGCCGGCCCCCTCCCAGACGCCGCCTGGCCCGTCAAGGTCACGCTGCGGGGCCGCAGCCCGGGATCCTGCCGCTTCCTAGCCGGGGGAGGGGGACCCCGAGTGGGAACCCGGGGGTTCTGAGGGTCCCCGCTGTTTCTTGGCCCGGGAGGACCCCGAACGGGAGACTAGAGGGCCGGGGGGGGAGAGCGGTGCCCGCCGCCGCCGCCGCCGCGCCCGATTTTCCCGCTGGGGGACTCCCGAATGGGAGCCTAGGGGGCACCGGCGGGGCCTGCTACCGCCGTGCCCGAGTTTACCATGGGGTACCCCGAGCGTGAACCTGGAGGGTCTGAGGTTCCCCGTCTACCTCCGAGCCTGGATTTCCCGCTAGGAGACTCCAAATGGGAATCTGTACGGTCCTGGGTGCCCCGGGCGCCCCCGTGCCGGTGTTTGTCCCGGAGTACCGGAACGAGGACCGGGAGGGTTTCGCGGCGCCCCCAGTCCGCGCACAAACTTGGTGGGTCAGCGCACGTGGCGGGCCCGACTGAGGGTTCCAGTTCTGCAGCCGCCCAACTTCTCCCATCAGAGACTCTGGGCGGCATCGCACCCTTTCCACTCTGTCTCCCCCAAATGCTAAGAACAAGGAAGGGTCACACGCAGAGGACCCTCGGGCCAAGGTCACGGGGACCGGTCAGTGCAGCCATCGCGTCTGTAACTTGTTTTTATGTAGATGGAACCCCTTTTCGCTCAGCCCCCCACCGAAACTCTCCAGAGGTGTATTTTTAAAAAAGGAAAAGGAAAGCTCGGGCGGGTGGGCAGAAAGCCTTGATTCTGAGGTCTTCCTTTTGGCGCTGCTATCAGAGCAGGTTTATTACAGCTAAGTTTCCCCTTAATTATAACCTTGCCTAATGCTGCACAAGATGAGATCCGAGAAGCCATCCCAAAGGAGCTAGAAAATGCGGTTCTGCCCTAGTGGAGGGGATTGCTCCAGTTTTCTATGCAGATACCAGCTCCCACTGCACCAGCATAATTTTACAGTTAGTTTCTTTGAAGAAGATGGCAAAATAGTGTGTGCTGCTTTTCCCTGGCCTTGTGTATATTTCTTGGTGCCCTGAGTTTTGAATAGATGCGGTGTTTACAAAGTGATTGATTTGGTGAGTCAGTCATTGTTTGCTGGTGGGAGACTGGCATCACCAGGCCCTCATCTGGCTCCAGCCACTGGGAACACCTTGGATGCAAAATGCATTTTGTGGGTTCCCCACTCCCCAAAACCTCATGCCATTTAGTGGACCCTGGAGGGAAGCACTTAGCTCACAGCTGTCTGTGTCTGTGTGTGTGTGTTTGAACCCTGTCAGGCACTAGAAGACTGTGTTCTGTAAACGAAAAGTTGCAGCACTTCTAACAGGAAACTAGGAGGCGGGGAGAGAGTTAGCAGGCTTACCATATCCACATCCACACCCACATGCACATGTCTTCCCAGAGTACAGGGGTCTTCAAGCCTGGGCTGCCTTTCTTTCTCACCTGGAGAGCAGAGATGAAGGTTAGGGAAGGGAGGAGCCTGGAGATCATGAGGGCTGTCCCTCAAGTATGCCCATGAGGAGACAGGGATGCCAGGCATTTCACCCCTACAACTTGTCCCAACTCTTCGGTCCCAGCCCGGGTCTGGACTCTCCAGACCTTCGGGTAGCTTGGGATGGCTACAGAACCAGGATTTAGACTAGGGCCTGCTTGGCCATGTTTGCCTCCCACTCTGATGAATCTACCCGACAGCCTGAGTTTTAAAGTTGTAAATCACAGGTGTCCCAGAAACGTTTTATTGCTTTGCAAGTAAAAATCTATTGCCAAAAAGTACTAACACGTTTCTGTTTTATATAGGAATCTTGTTTTCGTTGGATGTGGCATCCCAGGTCCATTTTGACCTCCTTGCTATGTAACTGGGCTAACCAGGCTTCTTGGCAATGGGCCCTCTTGCAATTTCCTGTGAGGGGACCATGGTTTCGACTTTGGAGTGGTTACCATGTGGGAGGTTGTGCTCAGATCCAAGTGAGGGCAGACATTATCAGGATATGGCAGGTCTGAATGATATCTGGTAACAGCTACCCTCACCTCCGACCTCCTTTGCTTTGGTGTCTGGTCACCACTCCAGTAGCTCCCTAGGGAGTACTTGACAGGTGGGAGGGGCCACTCCCCTTTCCTTGACAGACCCACATGTGTGGGTACACTGTGGAGGCCTCAGGAAATGTGTGGATGCCTGGGGCACCGTTCCTTCCTGGTCTGTACTGAATTTGTCTTTGAAGGAAGAGCTGCTCTAGTTCTTTACTACCTGAGCTGGCTCAGAAGTCAGCATGAAATCTGATGGAAGAATGGAAGTTGGGTGAGACCACTGTCTTTACTTAATGTTTTTAGAGTCCTGCTTGTCACCGTCAGCTAGAGCAGAGCAAAGGCTAGGTCTTGAGGTTAGAAGTTTGACAGGAACAGTGGATGTCACCTGTAGTCACGTATGGCCCTCTGTAGCTGATGTGTAGATGGCCAGATGTCTTCCCTTCTGAGGAATTCTTTGTAGTGACAGGCATTCATATTGCTGGGGATCCTGCTGAGCAGACAGGGCTGAGGTCCTCCTTCCCCTGCCACAAGCTTGGAAAGTCAACTTAAAGAAAGGTCCTTTGATCCAGATTATCCGTTGGGGTCTGTGGGTGGACATCTGAGGGTGCCTGCCATCTTGATGTTCCTGGGTGCTGGGGAGGGCCCTCTCCCTTTACAGATAGAGGCATTCAGAGGCACTTTGTTCCATCCACCTCTGGGGTAGCCAAACTGTCAGGAACTAGAGAAAAGTGAGGAAGATTTTATCTGGCACACGTGGTCCTATTTGCATAACTGGGGACTGGTAAGACAGGGACACCTACATGTCATTGAGGGCAGAGTTGCAAGGAAAGGAAGGACGCTGCATTGGGGTCACTTCAAGGAAAGACTGGGGATGTGGGGGAGTCCATGGTTGCTTACCCAGAGAGGTTGCAAATGGGTGACATCAGCGGCCTGCAGCCTGGCACTGGCTGAGTGATGGCATGTGGAGTGGTCCCAAGGCGGAGTGCTTGAGTCCTTCCTGGTCTTTCTGGAATATTTTGTTGGAGAGACTCTGGAAGCAGGATACCCCTGAGTTGAGGCCTGGGAGGGTGGGGACCGGGAGCTGTGGATTATACTTGTAAATGCCTGTTTGTGCTGATGGCCCAATGATGTGGGAGAGTCATTGTTTGGTTTGCTTCAGAGAGGTCATGATTTGGGGAGGACATTGGTCCTGTATGGAATAGGGCAGTGGAGGGGCTCCTCCTACTGTCCGGCACAGTTAGTCCTGGGGTTTTCTTGTGTCACACAGCCCCCATAGTCATCTGGGAGGGGGTGCTCTTCCCTGCTGGCAGGAAGGAAGCCTGAGTGTAGAGGGCAGGGGCTGGCATAGGGTGGGCTTTGGAGTGAGGCCTGTGGGCCAGGGCTGCCTGCCTCCTGCAAGGAAACTAGGACAGACTTAAGGAGTCCTAATGTGTCCCCACTAGAGACCAGAAAGGTGCAAACATAGGCTCTGGGTTGGATGCTCTCTAAGAAGAAGTGGCCATTTGCCCAACAACTGACTAGTCCAGGCCCTCTGCCTCTGCCCCCTGCTGCCTGTGGGTGGCTTTCTTACTAAGCGGGATGGAACTTTCCGAAGCCTACCAATATGCTTCCAGGGCAGAGCCCACAGTGGTCGGTCCCAGCCAGGGGGAGCCAGAAGACTGACTTCCTGGTGTAAAAACTACAAAGTTGCCCTGAAGTCCACAGAGCAAGAGCAGGGTAGTCATCCAAAAACATTCAAGGGGAATATCAACCGGAGCCTGGTCCTCAGTCACTTGTGCAGAGCCCCTTCCAGGAGGAAGTCACCAGCCCCCTCTTGAGGTATAGGCCCTCTGAGCGAATGTGCTGATCATAGACAACCTCTCAGATCCCCCAGCTGGTGGTGGTGTCTGTTTCCCCCTTGGGAACCAGACTTTTGTTCTCCTGGGAGGGCCTGATAGAGCCAGGAAGTTTGCACTTGGGTTTGGGGAGTGCAGGTAGTCTATGGGGCCCTGACATCCAGTTTCAGCTGAGTAATAATACTCTTCAGAGCAGGGAAGGGCTGGAGAAGGGGAGCCGGCATGGTTGGCTCATCCCTTAATCTGCAGAGTCCCATGTGTGCATGCCCATCTACTCCTGAGATTCACATGGTGCCAAATGAGTTTGTGTGGGCTGCCCTTGGACCGCCGGTGGGTTGAACAGGGTTCCCACTGGTGCCAGGGCTTCATTTCAGTGTTGACGAGGGATGGTCATGCTGCCTGGGCAGGGGGGAGCTGTGTCTGGGCTCATCCTGGGGGGAACTTAGTCTCTGGGGTGCTGGGGCACCTGTTTCTCACTTGCCCTGTGAGGTGGGCACCCAGGGCCCTTTTTATTTTATTGATTACAAAAACTGGGGCTCAGAGGTTGGGGCTTTGTGCTGGGGCTCTGGAAAGGTCCCTGTCACCACAGTCAGCTGGCCTCCCAGGACCTTCTGAAGCTTCCGTGTGCAGACCACGAGAGTGTGCCCTCAGAGCAGGAGGAAAGGAAGTGGAAACACTCAAAGTGTGCAGCACAGCGCTGCCCCACATGGAGGCTTGGCGTGTTCTTCCCTCTGCATAAGCTGATGGTCATATAAGAGGCACCTCTTGCTGAGTGTCTCAGATACCCTACTTGACGTGACGGGATGGTTGTTTCTAAAGCCTGGCATTTACTCAATAATGAGAATTTCCTAATTTGTAATCTTATAACTTCAGATTTACGGAATGGTTACAGATTAGTAACAAAAGTTCCCAATATTCTTTTTCCAGCCAGACTCTCCAGGGGCTAACATTCTGCCCCATTGGTTCCTCTGTTCATCTTTCATGAAGTATTCAAAAGGAAGTGGTACCGTGATGCCCCTTTGTGTAGACCTGTCCATGTGTTTCATTTTTAAGAACAGAGATATTCTCTTAAATGCACACAGCACAGTGATAAAATTGGAAAGCACAGTATTGATGTCATGTTATTATCCATCCACAGAGCAGATGCAAGTTCTGTCAGTTGTGTGGGTGATGGCATTTCTAGTTTTTCCCCCTTAATGCCTAATTTTGAAATTTAAGTGAAGGCTGGAACCTGGACTGGTCTGGCGGGTTCCTCCTTACAGGTGGGCGGTGGAGGTTGGGGTTCTTGGATGGGCAACAGTTTATTACTTTACTGTTTTGGTGGATGCAATGGTAAATAGAAGCTGGTGTTCTCTAAGTGAATTGGGTTTTGTTTTAATTTTTTTTTTTTTTTAATTCTTGAGATCTCTTTCCTGCATGAAGCTGCTTTTCCACAGCAAACCTTTGGTTGTTCTTGTTCCAAAGGACTGGGCAAACAGGCAGTTACTTCGCAGTGCTAGCCAACCTCTGGCCCTTGTCATTCGAGGCCCTATGCCACTACTGGTTCCAGGCCTCAAGGGGTTGGGCATGCTGAGTGAGGCTGGGCCTGAGTCACAGCTTGCTTTGGGCAGCGCCTGGACAGCCCTTGGGGAGTGGGGCACAGATGGAGGCACTCCCCCCGCCCCCCAATTGGAAGGCAGGTGGCCTGCGACATGGTTTTAAGTTAATGAGGTCTAAATGTGAGCCTCGCTACTGCTTGGTCAGCATGTTCTCTGAAACCTGTTTTTACCAAGCTCCCTTTCTAAGGTGCTGGAAATATAGCTACGGCCAGATGCATCCTGAGTTCCCTTCCAGCCTTCCCCAACTAGGGACCAGTGGTGGCCTGTTTGTTGGCATTTTGAGGATGGTAGTGGGCACCTGTCTGGTTGTGGGAAATTGTTTTCCACACACTAAATATAAATTGTCCTTCCTTAGAGGAAAGGCAGATTGGAAGAAGCCCCTGATAGTCCTGCTGTCACAGGCATTTTGCCAGTGGCTGGCACACTGAGACTTGAGTCACCAGATGGAGCAGAGGTGACAGGTGTGCCTGTTACCTTGAAGGTTCTATTAGGTGGAGGGCAAAGCTCCCTGTCTGATGGTTCTCTTAGTTGCTCAGGAGGCAGTAGTGTTATCAGCCTTGCAGGGTCCTGTGTTTCAGGCAGGAACTGAGCCTGGGCCACCTGCCAGCATCTGAAGACCCGCCAGTTAGTATTTAGGTCCAGCTCTGAGGATGAAAGTGGTAGTGTCCCCTTTTCCTGGGTGAAACAAGAATGATGGAGAGCTGCCACCACTGCTGCTGGAGCCCTCTCTCCCTGCCTCCTCTGTCATACCTGTCTCCAGGACTTTGGGAGGCTAGAATGATACAGAGGGATACTGAGAGTGCGGAAGGTGAGCACAGTCCCTTGTGAAAGCTGGAACAGCTGCAGCACCTTGGTTCACTCCAGGTCCAGCCAGTAGGAGGGCTGTGTGAGAGGTGGAAAAGGCAGGCACTACCACAGCCCTCCCTTGTTGAGTCCTAGCGGTGTGGAGCCCTCCCTGAGGGTAGTAGGGGGGCTCTGGTTTCTGAACCTGCTGAGGGCTGTGCAGACATAAGGCTGCAGAGACAGTGTGGGCTTCCTCCTGAAAGTTCTAGTGTGACTGTTTGAAAGTACAACCCAGGCCACCCTGGAGTGGGGGAATGCGGGCTAGGGCTCCAGTGCTGGGTCTGGAGCTCTGGGGATCTTTCTAATGATTTGTGGGTCCTGGCTCATGATCACATGGTGGGTGTCTGAGGCTTTGCCCTACCCTTGCTGTCATTCTGGTTTGTCCTCTGTGATCTCAGATCTTGATTGCAAATAAATTATTTCAAGAGTGTTAGAGGAGGGACTTGCTGTGGTTGTGGTCCATGTGCATGTACAATTCTGGACATATTGTCTTTACTACATTATAACACTCACCCTGCCGTGTTGGCAAGTCTTAGAATCATTTTTCATATCTGTAATCAGTGAGGCCAGGTGATGGCTGTGGCTGTTGACCGTGGCCATGACCGTGACAACTCAGCATGTTTGTGTGAACTCCTTCTGTGGTGTGGATTACTGTCTTGGGATGGGTCAGATGGGCAGCATCTTTAAAGGCAAGAACCATTTGACCCTAAATGTTTTCTTGTTGAATTGCAGGAAGCTCTTCGTGGGCGGTCTTGACTGGAGCACCACCCAAGGTAGGTGCCATGGCTGAATGCCAGGCGTTGCAGGCAGGCTGACCTTGGTCTTCAAGTTGCGTTGTGAATTCGTCTCTAACTACTACCTCAGGTTTCTTTAATTCTTCATTGATTTATTGTTTTGATTTCTGGGGTAAAAGGGCATTAGATTGGGCATTAGCAGGGGGCAGAGGGAATGCAATATTGGCTTTGAAAAGGTTAATATCGTCCTGATGTTTCACAGCAGAATTGAGGGAGAAATTAAACTGCAGCTTCCTAGCTCAAGGCCGAGGTAGGTTCTGGAGGTAGGAGGACTGTTAGCGTGCAGAGTGCGGTGGCTAGGTCTTTGCCCAGTGGTCACTGAGTTCAGATGTAGCAAGAAGAAGCTGGTTGTCAAGTGGCCTTCGAAGTTGTTCTGCATTCTCTTAAACTTCACTTTACTGAATGCCTTTGCCAAAACCATGCTCAGTTGCAGCATTTCTAGTTTATAAGAAGACATGATGTACTCCACCATGTGGAGTCCCCATTCTTCCTCATGTGTTTTCTATCCTTTATCCTCCTCCTCTGCCCCCAAACTAGTTGATGAGTCAGTTTAAAAGTGGGTAGTTGGCCCAGCCTGTGTGGCTCAGTGGTTGAGCATTGACTTATGAACCGTGAGGTCACAGTGTGATTCCTGGGCAGGGCACATATCCTGGTTGCAGGTTCAACCTATGGGGGTGTGCAGGAGTCAGCTTATCAATGATTCTCTGTCATCATTGATGTTTCTCTCTCCCCCTCCCTCTCTGAAATCAATAAATATATATATGTATTTTAAAAGTTGCTAGTTGTAGGGGGCGGGCTAGAAGGGGTCAATGGGGGGAAAAGGGAACATGTGTAATACTTTCAACAATAAAGATTTTAAAAATAATAAAATAAAAATGAGATTTGGAAAAAAGTGGCTAGTTACTTTCCAGGTTAGGCTGGTGAATCAAAAGAGCAGCACTTGCACGTGTGTGTGCGTGTGTATATCTGCATGCCAGCTGTCATGCTGTGCTTAACGCTCTGGTGTGTGTGTCTGTTTCTGTCCTGATCTCTGAGCAGAGACTCTTCGCAGCTACTTCTCCCAGTATGGAGAAGTTGTGGACTGTGTGATCATGAAAGATAAGACAACCAACCAGTCTCGAGGCTTCGGGTTTGTCAAGTTTAAGGACCCGAACTGTGTGGGCACAGTGCTGGCCAGCAGACCACACACACTGGATGGTCGAAATGTAAGTCCTGCTGCAGCTGAGATCCTCGCCCCTTTCTCTGTCACTTATCCTGCAGCTCACTGGGTTACCTGAGCTTTTGTGGATGTTTATGTTAAAGGCTCTTTCCTGTGGGGTTGATCTAAAAGGACTAAGGCTCACCCTAGCCGGTTTGGCTCAACGGATAGAGCGCCAGACTGCGGACTGAAGGGTCCAAGGTTCGATTCCAGTCAAGGGCACATGCCCGGGTTGTGGGCTCAATCCCCAGTGGGGGGTGTGCGGGAGGCAGCCGATCAATGATTTTCTCTCATCATTGATGTTTCTCTCTCCCTCTCCCTTCCTCTCTGAAATAATAAAAATATATTTTTAAAGTATTTTAAAATAAAAAAAAATAATAGGACTAGGGCTCTGGGCCTAGCCGGTTTGGCTCAGTGGATAGGGTGTCGGCCTGTGGACTAAAGGGTCCCAGATTCGATTCCAGTCAAGGGCACCTGCCCAGGTTGTGGTCTCGATCCCCAGTGTGGGGCATCAGGAGGCAGCCGATCAATAATTCTCTTTCATCATTGATGTTTCTATCTCTCTCTCCCCCTCTCTATAATCAATAAAAATATATTTTAAAAAAAAGATTAAGGCTTTGTATTCAGACTGGAGGTTGGAGTAGGGTATGGATATGGACATGGTGTGAATTGATTGCAAGTGCTAGTGTGCTGTGCTATTGGCTGCTGTTGTTGACACCTTCTTTTCTAGAGAAAAGATCCTCATATTTACAACTGGCTCATTTGAAACTTCCTACAGATTGACCCAAAGCCATGTACACCTCGGGGAATGCAGCCAGAGAGGACGCGGCCAAAAGAAGGCTGGGTAAGGGGCTGGGTGGGCAACCTTGCATGTTCAACAGCCAGTTTAAAGGACACATGTGCCTTTGTTGTTGTTCTTTTTATTTTTGTTTCTTTGTTTCCAATTACAGTTTGCATTCATTATTATTCCATATTAGTTTCAGATGTACAGCATCATGGTTAGACAAACGTGTCTTTGATCGGAATTTTTGCTCATTAAGATTAGGAGTGACTGAAGGTCATCTTTGACACTTGACCAGCTCAGAATTGCTCAGATTTATTCAACACTTTAAATTTTTTTAATCTTGTAGCCAAGAAGATAATTTTTATTAGTCTACCTTAAAAAAAAATGACAGCTCACACCTGTTTATCATTGGAGCCGTCTGCTTTTATCTGCCCCAAGTACTCTCAGCCTGCCCAAAAGGGCCGAGAGAAATTTCTTTTCCCACTCCCTCACTCCTCTCTTACTTGGTGGCCTGGTCATCCTTAACTCTGAGATTTTCACCTCCCAGCTCTGCAGCCGCTCCCCTCCAGACACAAAGCTGGTGACTGGTCGCTTGAACAGCCAGTGTAATGACTCCTGGAGATTTTCTGAGCTGTGTGTGGCCCCCTGGTGCTGGGTCAGCTGGAACAGACCTGTCTTTTGTCGCTCACCGCCCACATCTTCCCTTCCACCACCCAGCAGTTCTCAGAGAAGACTGTCACTCAGAACGCTTCCGTCCCCATAGAAAGCCCCACTGAACAGAACTGGGCTGGAGGCTGCTGAGAAGCTGCACCCAGGCTCCACACACACGTGTCTGATCTAAGTGGAGGCTTGAGATCTGCATTTCTAGCAGGATCCCAGCTGCTGCTGGTAGGGGCCTCAGACCCTTGAAACCATTTTTATTTTTCCAAATTTCTATTAGAAAAGTTTTCAAGTTACAGAAAACTAGATTAATCAGTTTTTATAATTTTCCAGTTATCTATATTAATATTCATCTCTGTCTGCATAAACCACTCCTAAATTCTGGAGCATGAATCTCCTAGAAGTCCAGCCTCCCACAGAATCCCCATTCCCACAACTAAGATGCCTAAGGTGTCACCCATGTCCACTCTGCCAGCTCATATTTCTATGACTGTCTCACAAATGACCTTCACAGCTGTTCAGACTGAACTTCAATCAGGGTTCAGATTGTATTTGCTTTAGTCTCTTGGCAACTTTATTAAGACAGAATAGGCACAGGCCATAATACCTGGGGAACCCTCACTCATCCCCAAAATTGCTAATCAAGAGCAGTTGGGACGACTTAACCCATAAGCTCCTTGGGGGTGTTAGGCGTGGAGGGGGTTGGGAGGGGCAGCATTTCAGGGCAGGAGCTGAAGTTTTGGTCAACAGATTGAAAATCACCATCTGAAATTAATTATGGAGGCCCCAGGTAGCTTCCTTACTGTCCTGAAATCCTTTGTTTCACAGTGTAGACCTTTAAGTTCGGTAACTGTTGTAGTTCAGAATATTTGAACAGAGTACTACAGTCTACTTTAAAATGCATTTACCACAGTGCTGGACTTGGTCTCCTTGGGTCTCTGGGAAAATGCTGTTCTTGGTTCTCTTTGGACTCCCTGGAACTTTCAGAGTATTCGGTGGCTTTAGCGGCTCTCAAACCCATGCAGACACTTACTTACAACCCTGGGGTTCGTGCTGAGGGCTCCCCACATGGTCTAACCAACTTTTCTTTCTTGACACAGCAGAAAGGACCCAGGAACGATAACAGTAAATCAAATAAGATATTTGTTGGTGGAATTCCTCACAATTGTGGTGAGACAGAGCTCAGGGAATACTTCAAGAAATTTGGAGTGGTGAGTTGTTCCCGCACCAGTAGCACCCAGGCAGCAGCTGCTCAACTTGGCCTAGTTGGAGTGGGTATGGTGGCTCTGTCCTCTTGCCCCGCACGCCCCCAGAACAGAGCAACCAGAGCCCATCCTTTCCCTTCATGGCCATTTACCATCCAGGAGAGTAGTCACGTCTTTTCCAGGCAGATGTAAACTGGCCAGGCCGGCATCCAGGAGGCTTTCCAGTTGGTTGTAAGGCGCAGTGGTTCTCAACCTTCCTAATGCCGCGACCCTTTAAAACAGTTCCTCATGTGGTGACCCCAACCATAAAATTATTTCGTTGCTACTTCATAACTGTAATTTTGCTACTGTTATGAATCGTAATGTAAAATATCTGATGTGCTATATGTGTTTTCCGATGGTCGGGACCACAAGTTGAGAACCTCTGCACTAGGGAGTGTTGGGGAGAAGCCAGCCTTCTGTCCCTCAGTGGCAGGAAGGTGTGTTCCAGATCAGGTTCACCTGGGACCTCCAGTTAGCTCCTCCTGCCCAGGATCCGAAACATGGTGCCCACCCCTGATAGCTGCAGCCAAGGGCAGGCCTGGCCTGGTGGAGGAGTTCCAGAGTGGAGACCATTCCCAGGTTCTTCTACCAGCAGCGTGGACCTCACTATATGGGGGACCGTGGCCCAACCCTATTGCTTCCTCTGGCAGTTCTCACTGTCCTCCAGGCTGTCAGGCTTCACAGGATATGTTTGGCTCTGTGTCCTGCTCATTGTTTCCTCTGTGATACAGACCTTCCCCCAGGGATGATCCTGTTTTCTGGAAGAGGTTAAAATCCTTTAGAATCTCATGGGGGTTAGAGTTAATCAGGGTCATATAGGGAACTTAGTTCTAATGGGGCCAGCAGAGGAAAAAAACTGGGCTAGGGTGCAAGTGTGCATGGGGCCATTGCACAGGCCCCTGTTGCTCAAATGCCCTGTCAGTGGTGTGGCCCCGCCTGCCGCTGTATTGTGTTTGTCAGGTGTTGAGTGTGCGAGGGCTGAGTGGCCAGGGTTTAGGAATGCCAGAGCACATGATGAGGGACACACTTGTGGAGTGGAGTGGAGGTGGGGGGAGGGCAATGAGGGCTGGATCAGCAGGACAACCAGGCCACTGACCAAGGGAGGTCCTGGAGCACCAGTGCTCTGGGTCATTCCATCCTAGCGTTTTGAATGGGGAGGATGCCCTATGAGTCTCCTGGCTGTCAACTCCCCTATGGAGTGGTGGCCTGGGCCTCTGGCCTCATGAGTCTTGGACATCATCCTCTGGAAGGCAGCCTTTTGCCTCAAGACTCCCAAGACTGGAGACTTCCCAGCAGGCATTTGGCTTGGGACTTCTGTTCTAGCCAGAGGTGCTCATAGGCACCGTGGCATCCAGGTCCTCAAACAGCCATTTTCTCTTCCAGGTCACAGAAGTGGTCATGATCTACGACGCAGAAAAGCAGAGGCCTCGAGGTAAAAGAGATGGAGTTTGTCCTTGACCTTCCCCCTCAGATGGCAAACTATCTCACAATTAGGTGGTGGTTGTAGCAAGCATTGCCTCAGTAAAGGGTGGTTTGGAGACAAATGATTAAAACGTAGGCTCTTCCTGTGCAGCCCCCAGCTTGTCTGTGCTCCCCAAGGTCAGACATTACTGTCTTTTTTTTTTTTTTTTTGGCTCATTCTTTTAAAGTTTTTACAATTTGACATGAATTTGAACATGGTTTCTGTTCTTTAATGTGCACTGAAAGACTTGTGTCCTTTTCCATTGTGACCTTCTTTAGTTAAGACTGTCTCTTGCCTTCAGTTCATGCCAGTGTAGTTTGTCTCCTGCCTTCAGCTCATGCCAGTGTAGTCAGAAGTCTCATTTCATGTTGTCAGGCCAGATCTGCTACAGCTCAGCTTGAATGTGGAGTTTCCCTTATTCACCTCATGCTTTTTTCCTGTTTTTCTTATTTTTCTCCTCAGTCAATGGGGCTGGCGGGAGGAAGGGCACATCCCCTCCAGGGCAGCCCACCCTTGCACGTCTGGCCTGGGCCAGCCGGCACCTGACATCCATGCCCTTTTGGGTTTGGTGGTTTTACTTTTTTTGTTTTTGTTTTTTGTGTGGCTGCTGCTCTTTGTCCCTGCCCATTTGTTTTGTTTCATCAGCTGCTTTGGGCCCTGGCCAGGAGCTGATCTGCCGGTCCAGGCCCTACAGCCCCTGCCCTGCGGAGACCCCTAGAGCGCTGGGCTGCCGTCCGCAGCATGCGCCCGCCATGCTGGAGAATAGTTTGCCATTTGAACTTCCATCCTCTTACTCCATGATTAAGTAATGTCTCCTCCCTTCATGTTGATTAAGCTGTTAAGTCATAGTCTTAATTTTAACATAGACGTACATGCTTAGTGACATATTAAGTGTTTCATAGTAAATATAGTAATAATATTAAGTAAGTTGTTTTCCTTTCTCTCTGTGAATTTTTGTGATTAACGATCTCTCTTTAGATTTCTCTTCTCCAGGTGCTAAATTATATCACACAGGTACAGGCCATCCTGCAGTCAGAGGAGGGAGCGGGCTTTGCTCCAGTGGGGTGTAAACGAAGTTTCAGTGTGTTTCTGTGCCGCTTCCTCAGTGGTGATGTCGCCTCTTGACACAGACGCGTCCCTAGACGTCCCGCCCCAGGCTCCTTACCCACGAGTCACCGCCTCTTGTGCCCTAATGGACCTCGCGAGCCCTGTGGTTTCAGATACTCCTGCACTCTGAGAAAATGTTACCTTGTAATATGCGTTTATCACCCGTGCTGTGTTTCACCATTGCCTCTGATCTTGTGAAGCCTCAGGACGTGGGGATCCCGAGGCTGCTTTTAGATTCCCCAGGTCACTCACCCCCTCCCAGGCCACCTGCGGTCCTCACCCTGGGCCCAGGGCGGGGGGTGCAAGCAGGACAGGCTGGTGGGGAGAGAACTTTGGGCTTGGGCCTGCGTTCCCCTGTGGTGCACACCGTCCTCAGCCACCTGGCTTTGTAGGTCTCTGCGAGTCCCCGTGAGCTTCCGCGAGCGCTAGGCAAGCAGAGGGTAGGAGCACCACCCAGAGAAGCAGCTGGTCAGCAGGTGTCCCAGAAACAGCTCTTTCCTACCTTACTCTCCAGAAGCTCCCACAAAGTCATCCCCCCGCCCTCTCCTGTTGGTTTAAGACAGGGTCCCTGTCTCGGGGGTTCTGCGTGTATCTGCCAGATGGCAACCCCTGACCTCTGGCCCACTCAGTCCTGCTTCTATCTTTGCTCCTCTTCCCTTTCTCCTGCTCCCCACCCTCCCACCAGCTTTGTCTCCTCTCCAATTTTGCTGTCATGGTTCCGTTTCTTCTCTCACGCCACATGTAGATTCTGTGTGCATGCATGTGCAGAGAGAACTAGACCAAAGGCTCCTGCATCCCAGCTGTCCCTCCCTGCTAGTCTGTCACCTGACTTTCTGAGCTGCCTTCTCTCTGTTTCCATCCTTCCACCACCATTTTGCCTGTGATCTTCCCAGGTGGTCTCCAGCACAGGCCTGCCCCTAGCTCCACGCCTCTGCCACAGAACACTGTCCCTGTGCCCCTTCCCCACGCCCATCTTCAGCCCCTTCTTGGCTTTGGCACTTCCCCTCACCCATCTTTTGTTCTTTGGGATCTCCTGGCAGCTGTCTGCCATGTGTCCTTTTGTGCTCAAAGCTGATGGGCCCCGGGAGCAAGGGCAATAGACTGAGGACCAGACACGCCACGTTAGCCGGGTGGTCGCGCTCACCCAGACCAACCAAACTTCGTTTATACTGCCACTTCCTTGCATTTGGAAAATGCTAAATTATTTTCTGTTTAAATTTTTCTTTGATGACATGGTGCCTCTTGCTCTTGCTGCTGACAGCAGAGTTGACCTGCTGGAACCCGCTGTGGCCTGTATCTTTGTGTATTTTATTACATAGATGTGTGCAGATAGATACCTGTATACATACGTATGTGACCTTGACAGGACTCCTTGGGCTTACCCAACGGTGTTGGATAAGCCTAGCGAGGCACTAACTGTGGTATAGACCGTACTGTTAACGCCTAGGACAATATATGGCTGCTGTCAGCACTAGCTGCAAAGCACATTGCAAGCCGAGGGGGAGAACCCTGGGTTTCAGCGAAGCAACAGTGCATCCACAGGACACCTGCGACTGAGGCGGAGTGCTCAGCTGCTCCCTGCCTTGTACTTGTCTTCCACAGAATGTTCTAGCACCAACAGGGCATACCCTGCCATGTTTCATGGCCCTCGCTATTGGGCTGTTCAGGCTGCTACTCCCTAAGGGGTGCCCTGGCTGTTCCAAAGTGTCCAATTGGAACCCTAGCTCAAGCTGCGCCCAGGCGTCCGGCGGGTCCCCCTGCCTCACTCACTTGCTGGATAGGCCTGCAGCCCCCTCCCTCACTTGCTTCGCTGAAGCCCTGGGTTGATCCTTCGGCCCGTCCCTAATACTGTTCATCATCCTGTTTTGTGTCACAACACCCTGCTACCTTGATTCACTCTTCGTCGTTGGCTAGGTTTTGGATTTATTACTTTCGAGGACGAACAATCAGTGGACCAGGCTGTCAACATGCATTTTCACGACATCATGGGCAAAAAAGTGTGTAGTTGTAGTTTTATTTTACCTTAAGACCAAACCAAGTCTCAGGCAACTGAGGGATGTCACTGGAAACAAAAATTCCTTCATAGAAGAGGTCCGGGTGAGAGGTGCCGGGACCCTCGACTGTGGGGTGGGACCTGGGCCTCTGGAGACTTGGGTGGTGGGCGGTGGGCCTCCAGTGACATTGCGGGTTGCCTCAGGCTTGGTTCCAGTGACCACTCCTTCAGATGTCTGAACTGTATTCCAATTGTTCATCCACCCCGCGATGGGCAGCCAACCTTTGAGAACAGGTTTCGTGTAAAACTGAAAGAAATGTAAACATCCTGAAGGATTGGTTGTTTTAATTGGGTCACTTACTGTGAAACTCCGGTACCAACCACATGCTCTCGATAGTACTTAACTCCATGCAGTCAAGTGACCTCTGGTTGTTTCATCTTCATACTGTGTTGCCACCATGGAGGTACTGTCAGAAAGTGGCCCATAACTACTCATTTGCCTGGGCCCTTCGAGCTTTTGGAGAACTTAACAGTAAAATGAGTAACTGGCAGAAATTCTGTCGTGTGGGGTTCCTTATAGTTAGCAAAGTCTGGGGCCCACGTTTTGGTAGGATCCCCGTTTGGGTCCTTATAAAGCCTGCTCAGCGCACCCCGGCGGCAGTCCCGTTGGTGTGTGTTCCCAGTTTCTCCTCATTCGGTTCAGCATGCCCAGCCCTTCTGATTGAGATACTGGAGGAAGCATGGCACTGGGGTCTGCCCAGGTAGCCTGCTCCCTGATGTTCAACAGGGCAGCCGTTCATACTTGCCAGGGGCCCAGGTTTCCCTGCAGGCTTAATCCCATTTGAACCCAACTAAGTGGGAGACACATACCTCACTCCGAAACTCAATGAAGCTTTTAGTTTAAAACCATCATGAGGACTTCAAGGATACACACCAGTTAAGAACACAAGATCAGAGAAGTCCACATTCAATAGTTGAAGGTCCTGTGACGTTTAAAACTTGGAAGAAATGAGGTGCTGCTTCAGGAGCAGAAAGGTCTGCTAAGTGCACTATCTGTCCCTGCTCCAGGCTGCCAGCCACCTGCTGTGGGATGCAGGGTATCTGAGTCTGGACTGCTCAGAGCTGACACTAAGAGGGTTTCTCTTGCCGGCGGGAGTCTGGCTTCTGTCGCAGCACCTTCACTAATCCCCACCAGTTCTTCAGTGGGGATTTCCGACTAACAGGCTCCCGTCCCACTTTAATTAAAACCAGAATAGGGTGACTTTTGCGCTCCCATAGGAAGAGAGTAAAGGACCTTTTTTAATTACAGGGGCTGCTTTTCTTTGTAAGCAGGAGCCAAATTTCCTTAAGGAGAGTGTGTGAAGACCCTTTAGCTTCAGATCTTTGACTCTCCCTTGGTTCTGCTGCCCAGTTGCCTTTAGCTAAGGGAACTTCATTCCCATCAGAGGAGTGGCCTTGAGGCATCAGGAAGGGAGGAGGGGTCTTTTGTGTCTCTGTTTTAAGGGAGCACTGACAGAATTCTGATACCTAATGGTTATTTAGCTCACCAGACTAAGGCCCCAAGGATGACTCCATGTGGATCTGTTGTCCCGCTTATTAAAGTTTATCCAAAAAGAAAAAAATCCAGGATTCTCAAATGCTGAGACAACTCTGGAAGTGGGGCATCTTTTTGCCAATGAGCAGCGTAAGTGGGGTAATCACCACTTCCTGCGATGCTGACCTCTCCCCTGGCTGTGGCTCCTGACATGTCCAAAGAGGAAGAGTCCTGGGCTGCTGACCCAACACAGTATGAAGATTGCTTACTGATCCAAATGTCCATTTTATTGCATGTTTGTTTACTTTTTGTTAGATGTAATGTAAGGCTCTTTATCATATCCATTCCCTCTGACATTATTTTGAGTTAATTGAGATTTTTTAAGCGTTAGCCTGGGGAAGGTAAGTCTTTATCTTCCTTTAGACATTTTAAATTAAAAACCTAAGTAAACCAACTGTGTTTCTCAGGTATGAGCTGAAGGTGCAGGCAGGGTGGGTGGGCTCCGAAGAGATCCCCCACCACCGTGATGCGGCCAGGGGCGGGCTCCTGCCACTCAGTGCTCCCAGGGCTGTGATTATTGGAATGGCCCTGGTCTCTGTCCCGGGTTTATGAGGCTGTTGAAAGAGGACACTGCTCTTTTACCTTGACTGAGAGACCCTTGTCGTACATAAAATGCTCAAGGGTCCCTGCTCTGCAGCACATAGGGCTTAGCATGTCACAGTCACATCTGTTGTACCTGAGAAACATTTTTTAAATATAATAATTAAAACAGAAAAAAAAAACCTTTTTAAAGAAAAAGCTACTGGCCTAAATAAGGTATATAGTTAAGTATTTAGTTTTAAGTTATAATAAGATGCTAAGTGTAGTCATAAGTTACCTGAGGGTGTGTCTGAAGGGAAGGGGCCTGGGACCCGTGCGTCCCCCTGAACCAGACCTCGGTTTGTCTAGGTGGAGGTTAAACGGGCTGAGCCTCGCGACAGTAAAAGTCAAGTGCCTGGACAGCCAGGGGCCAGCCAGTGGGGGAGCCGCGTCATGCCCAGTGCCGCCAATGGCTGGGCAGGCCAGCCCCCACCTACGTGGCAGCAAGGATATGGCCCACAAGGTAAGATTCTTCCCAGGACAAGCTACTGCACCCACTTCTCCAGACTTAGCGCAGAGGTGGGGCTCCCTACTCAACTGGGCCCTGGGTTCCGCCTTATCACCAGGTCCCTCTCAAGAGTGGTGTGGTCCTCGGTGGTATGTTTGGGCCCTGGCCAAGTCCATGTTTGGGGTTTGAGCCAGCAGGGCTGCAGTGAGCATCCTTGCCCTTGCGGTCTGGGGTGGTTTACTTAGGTTCTTCCACAGACAGGTCAGGATAACCTGGTGGGTTTTGAGACTCTGATGGTGAGCAAGTGAGGTTTTCGCCTGGCTAGAAGGAGAGTCCTGCTTCTTTGGTTCTTTGGGTCTTTTCTGTTCCGCAGGTTTTAGGCTGACATCAGCTGGGCTGTTGGGTCCTCTGTGTGGGGTCCAGAGAGCGGTTAAGGACAGCCTGGCAGGATGGTTGGAGAGGGGGGCCCTGGGATGGGATCTGGGAACCTCCATCCTTGATGGAAACCCAAATAAGCAGCCGAGTCCAGAGAGGAGCAGATGGAGGCCAAGTGGGCCTGTCTGTACCCAGGGCATCCAACACCCTGATTTTGCAGAGCTATCCACACAGTTCAAGGCTTTATTCCTGCTCTCTCCAGGGCTGTCGTTTTTAAAACCTGCATTTATTGCGAAATGAAACACGTCCAGTAAACTAATTCCAGACACTCATCCACCAGCAGGTGAAGGACCCATGCTTGGCCGGTAGTAAGGCCTGAGATGCCACACATGCACCTGAGTCTCTGATCTGTGGGCGTTCCCTCCATCCCTTTTGACGGTTCTGTTTAAGAGCCAGGGCCATTGACCCAGTGGCTTTTCTCTGAATCCTCCCCTGTGGAAGAGGACATGGACAGCAATACCTGGTGTTCTTGGGATCACAGGGCATGTCGAGAGGGGCTCCAGGAGAGTTCCACCAATGATGGCAATCGTGCTATGAGAGTAGGAGGGCAGGGCGGTGCTTGGCATGCAGTCGGTGACATTGGCCTAACAGCACCAATCCCCATCTTTGTTTTCTGGTTTAGGAATGTGGGTGCCAGCAGGACAGGCAATTGGTAAGTCTTTGTTCGGGAAACGGGGAGATGACGAAATCTGAAGTGCAGTGGGCCCCTGGCAGGCCTGGGTCTGGGCAGGTGGGGGTAGTGTGTGCCATGCTCTCCCTCACCCTGTATCCTGTGTTCCAGGTGGCTACGGACCGCCCCCTGCAGGAAGAGGAGCTCCCCCACCACCCCCGCCATTCACCTCTTACATTGTGTCTACCCCTCCTGGAGGGTTCCCTCCTCCACAGGGCTTCCCACAGGGCTACGGCGCCCCCCCACAATTCAGTAAGTCCTGGGGCCATGGGTGGTCTTTTCAGCACACCTTTTTAGACTGCCTAGAGCTCGCACTGGGGGTGCAGTCGGAAGCCTGTCATGGTTCCTCTGCCTGGAGGAAAAGGATGGGCTGGCCTTGTGGACTCCATATTTTTTGGCTTCGGCCTCCTTATGGGCCAGCCGCACGAGTTGTAACAGCACGAAGACCTTGTTCTTCCTCATGGTCATGCCTCGAATGGGCCTTTAGACCTAATCTCTGTGATTCATAATTGAGGGGCTTCGGGTCTTGATTCACTTTCCTCTGTGCTTTACTTTGTGGTTGAAGATCTGAGTGTCGAGCATCCAACTCACTGGGAAGGTTAGGGTTCTCCTCTGACCTCAGTACCCTCAGAACAAAAGGGCACAGCCTAGCCTGGCTGGAGCGGCTTGGTTGATTGTCATCCTGTGCACCAAAAGGCAGCTGGTTCGATTCCCGGTTAGAGCACATACCTGGGTTAGGGATTTGATCCCTGGTTGGGTTGCATACAGAAGAAAACTGATGGATGTTTCTCACATCAATTCTCTCTCCCCCTCTCTAGGAGCTGGGTTCCATAGTAAAGAGGAACCCCTCACATAACTCAGATGGCCACATACCATTTCACCAACATAAAGGGTCCTACAGTCTTTTTACTAATAAGTCCTTGGGGTCCAGGTGTGTCATTCTTGGGGCAGTGGGGACCAGCCACATTGGTAGGCTCAGTGACTATAAGTGACCAGTGGCCGAGGACTGGGCAATTCAGTTCTGTGGCCTGGAGCAGGGCCTCATGATGGATGACTTTGCCTTGTGGCTCTTCAGAGAAAAGATGTGTCTGCTTCAACAAGATAAGAGGTGGATAGAAACATTATCTGCAGCCTGAGGAAACATGATTGGGTGTGTCTTTTGTCTTCTCAAAGCACATGGATTGGACTGTGTTGGACGGTTGATTTCTGTCCTAATGAGCATTCCTGAGCAGTGAATTACCAGCCAGCACCTACCACAGGCACCTAGTTCCTGGGCCTGCTTCAGCTCCCGCTGTCCCAACTGCCCACAGGTTTCATGCTGGTCTCTTACCCTTCATCCTCAGGGCCTGGCCGCACAGGTGTTTCAGATGGAAATCCTGTGAAGGCTCCTGGTGTCTGGGCCGTGGGCAAGCATGGTGTTTGTTTTTCTGTCCTGTTTGCAGGTTTTGGCTATGGGCCTCCACCTCCACCGCCAGATCAGTTTGCGCCACCAGGGGTCCCCCCTCCACCTGCCACTCCTGGGGCAGCACCTCTGGCCTTCCCGCCGCCTCCCTCTCAGGCTGCCCCGGATATGAGCAAGCCCCCAACGGCACAGCCAGACTTCCCCTACAGTCAGTATGGTGAGTGGCCATGCCTCCCCCTGACTTCCTCCCTCACAGGCGGATTTCCCACCAGTGTTTTCTGGGTCGGGTGGTCTGAGGTGTGGGAGTTGTTGGAGAGTTCACGTGACCTAGGATCAAGCAGGCGTCAAGTGGGATTTTGGTTGCTTGGGTTTTTGCCAGGGCACTAATCGTAGAAAAGCATGGATTGCACAGCAGGTGATCCCAGGCCTATGGGTTTGGAAAACAGGCTATAACTGGGCCCCTAGGAGGATGGTGCGAGGGCTGCAATTGCTGTTTGGCTGAGGACATCCCCTGCAGGCCTGTCCCTTCGGTGCCTCGGTTATCCGAGTGCAGAGCGCAGGCAAGAGTGTCAGCTGGGTGGTCTTGCTCTGGTCTGCGGCAGGTACTGGCTTTGGCATTGGCTTTGTGCTTCACTTGAGGGGCTAGTCTTGGAGTAGGTACTTCTGAATTGGGTCTGCAAGGTGACAGCTGAGTGGGGGAACTCCTGTGAGGACAGGGTGTGGCCTTGGGTCTCTCCCCACACCGGGGTCAGTCCCCTGCCTGCCGTGAGGGGCCAGGGCCTTCAGGTCTCCTGTGAGAGTTTCAGCCCCTGGTTTTCCATGTTATGGTGTGAACTGTGTGTCACCCAAGACCACAATATCTGCAAGTCGGTCCACTCTTACCCTCTAATGCAGTCCCGCCAGCTGACCAGATGCTCCCCAGCACCTGCATTGTACACTCTTGTTCCCTTCGGGGCCTTGCAGGGCGGTGGTCACTGAGTACATGGGTTCTCGACCCTGCCTGGAACAGGACGTGTTGGCGACAGACATGTGAGCGGCCCTGGGTGGGGGTGTACATGATCTCGAGTGTGTCCCCTCCCTACCACCCTGGGGTAGTCACCCTGGTCTCGTCTCTCGCCAGGCCTGGGTACCTATTCTCAAGACCCGGCGGGCTTCGGGCCCATACTTTGTTTACACTCTTATGGTCAGGCTGAGCAGTGATATGGCCTAGGTAGGTGGCGCCTCCTCATGCACGGTCCTCACCTGCCTGCACCCGGGCACCGGACGTTGCCTCCTCTGCTGTCCCGGGCGGGGTGGAACCACACTGCCCTCTGGGGCACGGCCCAGGAGCTCTGCCTCCGAGTGTGCCCCCAATTGGGAATCCGGGGGCCCTGGGATGGCCTTCATCCAAAGTGTGTGGTCCGGGTGGGCAGGGAGCGAGGACAGTGCTGCCCCTCATTCCAGAAGTGTCTTCATACCCACCAAGGCCAGTAGTGCAGGGTCAGGGTCCTTTTTAGAGAGGGACCTGCCCCACTCAGATGGGCTCTGCAGGTGCATCCAACTAGAGTCATTGAAGCCTAATGGTCCGCATGTAGTCCCTGCCCACTCCCATGTATGGAAGCCTCCAGGTTGGGTCAACTCTGGAGGGAGGACCGTCTGGGGCCTGAGGCGCATCTGGAGGGAGGCTAGGGCAGATTAGATGTTTCCTTAAATCCTGAAAGTCATGCCTGAGCTCACCCTGCATTGTACTCGAAAACAGACTTTCTAGGAACCCAAGGTCCGCCGAGCTGGGCCAGGTGATTGATATGTGTCTCCAAGCCCAAGGGTCTCTCCTGATCCTCAGCTCTGCCACCAGGGCTCCTGCCCTAAGTCTTTGGGGACAAGTGAGGGTCGGTCAGGATCAGACAGGACAGACCATGGGTCCACGAGGTCTCATAGACTCTTTTATTTCTGTGCGGAGACAGGGTCCTGCTAGGGTTTGAGGGTGGGCTTTTCTGGAGACACGTGCTCCTGGGGGCCCAGTGATGTCAGGTGGGAGCGGGACCCTGGGTCCTGTTGGTGGGACCAGCTCCCCCGGCCACTCATTGCACTCTTTCCCCACAGGTTATGGACAGGACTTGGCCGGCTTTGGGCAGGGTTTCTCAGACCCCAGCCAGCAGCCCCCTTCCTATGGGGGCCCCTCAGTGCCAGGCTCCGGGGGCCCCCCTGCTGGTGGAAGTGGCTTCGGACGAGGTCAGAACCACAATGTTCAAGGATTCCACCCCTACCGACGCTAGCTAGCTGGTGCCACGCAGGCGGCTAGATGGCTGAGACCCAGGATTCGAAACTTGTGAACTCGTGACAATCACAAACTTGGCAGAAAAATCGCGATTCAACCTTGGGGGGAGGGGCAGACGTGAGGCTTTTGGAGGCGGCTGTGGGTGTCTGAACTGAAGTTTTTAAATATATTTCTTTCTCTAACCCATCAGCACAATAAAAAAAAAGTCACTGGTTCAACAACAGGGTTTTAAAAAGTCTTCAGCTTTAATTCAAAACTTCAGGTTTCTTTTTCTTTCTTTTTTTTTTTTTTTTGAAATTATTTTCCTGAGCCTTTTGTTTTACCGTAGATTGTAAACTTTTATGTTAAAGAAAAAAATATACATTTACAAATTGTGAGATTTTTAAGAGAAATTTTCTACAATGTATACTGGCTTATTTTTTAATTTAAAACAGGGTTTCTGTCGGCACTGGTGGAAGTGAGGGGCATTTTTGGTCCCCGTACTCCTGGCTTTGAGGGTTGGGACTCGTTGGTCCAGAAACTCTGGAGCTTAAAAAAGCAGTCTACTGAGTGTGTTTCGTTTTTGTTTATTCCTTGCTTTTGTCGATTGATCTGCCTGGCGGTGTCTGCAAGTGCACCGTGGGGGGCTGCACCCGCCTGGCTCGGCTGGCAACCACCCCGCGTCCAACTGCATCAAGGACCAGGAGGTCTTGTCAGCCTACTTCCCGCGCATGTGGCTTCAGGGCATCCCCACTGACCAGTTTGACCCTGGTTTGAATAAAGAGAAGTGCGTTTGGATTAGAACCCATGTTGTGTCATTTGTTCCCTCCCTGCTGGGGAAGAACCCCGCCCACAGGAGAACCTCCATCTACCCTGGCTCCTCCGTGGTCTTGCAATGACTTGAGGCCTGCTTCAGGGCGGGGCCTGGCCCCAACCTTGGTGGGTCTAGGAGTCTTTGGGTTCTGGCAGATGTGGGTTTTAGGATGTTTAGGCAGGGACCCGGTGAGAGCTGCAGTGCCAGTGTGAGGTTCTGGAATTCATAGCCACTCGCTGGGTGCCAAGGAAAAGGCATACAGACAGATCTGGCTGGGGATGGGCCAGACCTCCCTAGTCCCTCTGGGAGTGATACCTGGACTGTGCCCTTGGGAAGGACACTCAGCCTTTGCACAAATTGGGCTGTTGACATGGGTGATGTGGGCATTGGGGCGTTCAGTCAGGGCCCTGGGATGAAGCATGCTGGCTGGGACACTTATTAGGGCCCAAGAGGCAGGGCTGGGCCAGGGAGTAGGGTAGCTTGCTCCCAGCCCTTGGGCCAAGTCCACATGGATCCTAGAGATGAGTGGGAGAGTGGGTGGGAGGCTAAGGGGAGCTGAGAGCCCTGGGGCCAGGAAGTTGGAATGGGATCTGACATCCCACAAGGGCTACCCCCTCCTATTGGACACATATAGGCCTGGCCTGCAAAGTCCTTCCAGCCTCCGATATTTTGGACTACATTTTTTTGACTGTCCCTCATCCCAGATGCCCAGGACTTTGACATTCAATGAAGCCCCTATTTGCAACCCTGAGAAGAGAGGTGAGTCACAGCTTGCAGGCTGGACTCCCTTGGCTGAGGCTGGTCTGGCCTCTTGGAGAGGTGGGACAGTGGGGACAGGTCCTGGGTCCCAGGAGTCTGGCCCCTCGGAAAGAGCTGTGACCAATTGTTCTGGGTGTGTGGCTCTCCTGTGGCCACTGACCACAAATTGGCTTAAAACAACAATGTTTATTCTTTCACAGTTCTAGAGATCAGGAGTCTGACATGGTCTCAAGGTATGTCATTGGGGGCCATTATTTTGTCATTCTAAAGATCACAATCAAGATTTTAAAATATAAAAAACAGAGTCATCCAAAATGGTTTGATGCCTCCAATGTGCCAGGCTTGAGATAAACTAATTAACAGAACAGCCAACCCTCCCCCACACACTTGAATGGCTCAGCCCAGGAACCTTCACTGTGATCTCCAAAACCCTTCTGGGTGGTAGCCTTCCCTGCTCCCTCTGGAGCTGCTGCCACCAAGGTTTACAGAAGCAGCAGGAAGGAGCAGGATCACACCATGGTCATCACAGCTAATAAACTTTCCCTCCTTTTATTAGTGAAATTAATTGGCAAAATAATTTTTTTAATTTTAGGTCTCTGGCTAAGGGCATTGTGCAAACAGGGATTTCCAGCCAGTAGGGTGCTCTCAGGAGCCCGTGTCACACCCTAAAGAACACATCGTGTGGTCCCAAATGATGTATTCCCTTGGGGACAGGAAGGGACACCCCTCCTTGGGGTGGAGTTTCATTGGCTCTTCTCCCAGGATTGTGGGAATGGCTGAGGAGATTCTCAGCTTCCTTGGAGACTTTCCTCTTTCCTCCAGGCCAGCCCAGCTCCCCACAGAGCCACTGGTGTCAGCCAAGCCCTACCCAACAAGCTAGAGTGGAGGCCAGGAGGGGATGGGAGGCTCTGCTTCTCTTGGTTAGTAGCACCCAGGTCATCCCAAACCCCAGGACCTTTGCACACCTGCTCCCTCTTCCAGGAAGGCACCCTCTCAGCGGGGCTGGGAGCCAATTCGCATTTATGTTACTGATATGCTTGGGCTGTCCTCAGCCATTTCACTGTGTTTTCTGTTATGTGTCTTTTTTGTCTTTTATGCCTCCTGGTGTTTTGTTTTCTTTTTTCTTTTTTCTTTTTTTTTCAGCCAAAATACTAGAGTATTTTCTAGTGTAGCATTTTAGTCTTTTTAATGACTTTTTTCATTATATATATTTTTGGTGATTTTCTTAGAGGGTCCTCTAAGAGCTTATCATATACATGTTATTTTTTTGTGTGTGTGTGTTCTTTTTTGTGTGTGTGTGAGCACAAACTGAGCTTTATTTCATTGCAAGTGATGTTACCTATGTACACATTTTTTTTCTCTTTCAAGTTAACTGCTGAAATTGTCCTTAAAGAGACCACATTGTAAAATGTATTTAATTACTAATTTATTAAATTTTCCTGTCAATTGACACATTCTGTATGGAGCCTTTCAAGGATGTTTTGAGAGTTTATTTACAATCACTGAAAGCAGGTGGTTCTGTAAAACTTACAGGTAATTATAGACTCCTTAAACTCACAACATATATAAATTTCAACATTTAAACAGAAGCCCATTTTCTTCCAAAGTAATTTTCTCCCACTTTCTCATAAAAATATAAGAAAGACCACTGAGCCGTCAAGAAAGGGCAAAGGAAAAACACCTTTTGGGTGAAGTGGGCAGCGTGTTGTGTGACAAGGTTAAAAAAAAAAAAAAATATATATATATATATATATATATATATATATATATATATATGAAAGACAACATTCATAGTTTTAAAAACTAATATTATATTGAACCCAAATCAAGGTTTCTTTACAAATGATGTATTTTTCCAAAAAGTTTAAAAGACATCACAGAATAATCTGATGTGAAAGTAAATACTCTTACCACAGCAGAGTAATTTAAGAAATATTGTGCAGTATGTTAACACACCATATTTATGTAGTACATTGTTGTATATGTGTGTGTTTTTCTACACACGTTTCTGTTTATTATGGCAAAGGTGAAAACGCCACCTCCACAACAGCAACCAGTAAAATTTATCCCAAAAATAACTGCGTACAAAACAGGTCTGTTTCAGAAAAAAAAAGGAAAAGAAAAATCTTTATTTGAGTTTTAAATCCTATTTCAAAACAGCAGAAACAACTCCATCATTGGCCACAGGGCCCCGCTGGCCCGCCCCGGGCGAGACCCAGACAACGCCTAGGCCTAGCCCCGCGCACCGAGCCGCCAGGGCTGTAGCTCGTGTCCATCCTCGCGTGGTCAGCGTCCAGCTGGACGTCCGACTCCTCTGCGGAGATCTGCTGCTTTCAGCTCCGGCCAGTGCCCCAGCTGCCTCCCCGGGCTCCTCTCCGAAACTTCCAGATCCTCGGTTTCTAGTTGCCCGCTGTGTTGACACTGCGCTGCGTGCTGGGATGTGACGAGCTGGACGTTCATGGGCGGCCATCCAAAGGGCCGTTGTACTGTTTCATAGCTTTCAGGGCGTCCGCCGGCCTTCTTCACAGTCCCAAATCCATCAAAGAGTTCCTGGGTGTCAGCGTCGGACACTCCGAAATCCAGGTTGGACACCCGCAGTTTCCCACCGTCTCCGCGCCGGCACCACCGCCAAAGCCGCTGTCGAAAAGGTCCTGTTGCCACTTGTCCGGAAGTTGTTTTCGGTCGGTTGTAGGGCGCCGGCTGGTTCCTGCCTCCGCCAGTTCGCCCGGTTCCGGTTCCGGATGGGCCTGCGACCCAGCTCACTTTGCCACCCGCGGCCGCTGGCTCCGGTTCAGCTTAATGATGTTGTCCAGAGACATGTCCATTTTGTCGACCAAGGCGGGCGCGGAGTTCGCCGTGTTTTTGTTTTTTAAAATATATTTTTATTGATTTCTGAGAGGAAGGTGGGGGAAAGAGAAACATCAATGATGAGAATCATTGATTGGCTGCCTCCTGCAGGCCCCACACTGGGGATTGAGCCTGCTCAGGAATCAAACCGTGACCTGGTTCAGAGGTCAATGCTCAACCACTGAACCACGCTGGCTGGGCTGGCTGCTTTTGTATTGTAGCAAAATGCACATAAAACTTGCCATTTTTAATCATTTCTCAGTGCACAACTCAGTGGCATTAAGTACCTTCACATTGTTGTGCATCCATTCCCACCATCTCCAGGACTTTCTCATTTTCCAAAACTGAAACTCTGTCCACCTTAAGCACTAACTCCTTGCCCTGGCTGGTGTGGCTTAGTTAGTTGGAGCATTGTCCTGTGCACCAAAGGGTCAAGGGTTTGATTCCCGGTCAGGGCATTGTGGGTTCAAGGTCGGGGAGCACACGGGAGGCCACTAATAAAGGTTTCTCACATCAATACTTTTTTCTGTCCCTCCCTCTCTAAAACCAATGAAAAACATATCCTCGGATGAGGATTAAAAAACAAAACAAAACACTAATTCTTCCCCACCCTCCCCCAGCCCTGGCTCCCACCATTCTGCTTTTTCTTTTTCTTTCTTTCTTTCTTCTTCTTTTTTTTTGTTTTGTTAATCTTAACCCAAGGATATTTTTCCATTGATTTTAGAGAAGTGGAAAGGAGAGGGAAAGACTGAGAGAAACATTGATGTGAGAGAGACACATTGATTGGTTGCCTCCTGCATGCACCCGGACCAGAGCCCAGGGACCTGCAACCAAGGTCTATGCCCTTGACCAGAATCAAACCAGGGACCCTTCAGTCCGCAGGCCGACACTCTATCCACTGAGCAAAGCCGGCCAGGGTTGCTTTCTTTTTTTTTCTACAGTTTTTTTTTTTAATTTCAAGAAAAACAATCTTAAATATAATGTTACATGCAATAAACACCAATTCAAGAAAAATGATCTTACATATAATATTTACCTACAATAAACATTAATATTTCAAGAATAGCCCTAACCGGTTTGGCTCAGTGGATAGGGTGTCAGCCTACGGACTGAAGGGTCCCAGGTTCGATTCCGGTCAAGGGCATGTACCTTGGTTTTGGGCACATCCCCAGTAGGGGGTGTTCAGGAGGCAGCTGATTGATGTTTCTCTCTCATTGATATTTCTAACTCTCTATCCCTCTCCCATCCTCTCTGTAAAAAATCAATAAAATATATTTTAAAAAAGAAATAAATAAAAGGATTTTAAGTATAATATTACCAAAACTGTATTAACATAGTATAATATCACAAAAGTTGTAGGAAATATTAAAAATCTGCAAATAAC